GCACTTCGGGATTAGAACACTCGGGCAGTATCACGACTTGTATTTAAGAACTGATGTTTTACTACTGACCGATGTATTTGAAAACTTTAGAGACTTGTGTATGGAATACTACGGTTTAGACCCCGCTCATTATTACACATTGCCAAATTTCGCATGGGACGCGATGCTTCTAAAAACTGGTGTTGAAATAGAACAATTGCATGACCAAGAAATGTTTGAGATGGTTGAAAAGGGAATGAGAGGTGGTATGTGTCAGGTAAGTCATAAATTAGCAGTGGCAAATAATAAGTATATGGGGGAAGCATATGATGAGAACAAGCCATCAAATTATATTAGTTACTTGGATGCTAATAACTTGTATGGTTTGGCAATGTCCCAGAAGTTACCGCTAAAAAATATCAAGTGGGCAAAGAAAACTCCCATTGTTGAAAAATGGAATGAAAACGATGAGTTCGGTTATATTATGGAAGTTGATTTGGAATATCCCGAAACATTGCACGACTTCCACTCTGACTATCCACTAGCGCCTGAAATAATGAATGTAAATGTGAATATGCTTTCCGACTATCAAAAGCAAGTCTATAAAATATATTATGACGGTAAAAGTCCCAAGGACGAGAAAACAAGTAAGTTAATATTAAATCTAAAGGATAAAGAAAAATATGTGGTTCATATTAAGACTTTACAGTATTATTTGAAAATGGGAATGAAAATGGGTAAAGTCCATAGGATAATAAATTTCAACAGAGGGCATGGTTGAAACCGTGGATTGATTTCAACACTGGTAAAAGGAAAGAAGCCAAAAGCGATTTTGAGAAAGATTTATTTAAATTAATGAATAACGCGGTGTACGGAAAAACTATGGAAGACAAGCGAAACCATATGGACTTTGAACTGGTTGATAATGAGGTAAGATATGAAAAATGCGTGAATAACCCAACATTCAAAAACCGATTTATTATAAATGAAAATCTGGTGGGAGTTGAAAAAACTAAAGCGAAACTGAAACTGGATAAACCGATTTTCCTGGGAATGAGTATTTTAGATTTAAGCAAATTACATATGTATCAGTTTTACTATGATGTCCTTAAGAAAAAATACAATGAAAACATAAAACTGGTTTATACTGATACTGACAGTTATGTAATTCAAACAATGACTGATGATGTCTATAAGGATTTCAATGATATAAAGCAACACATGGATTTTAGCGACTATCCTGTTGAGCATCCATGTCATGACAAAACTAATAAAAAGGTCTTAGGAATGTTTAAGGACGAATGCTCTTCAAAGATAATTACCAAATTCATAGCTCTCAAACCAAAGTCCTATGCTTTTACTATCCATGGCGAGGATGATGAACATAAAAAATCAAAAGGTGTAGTGAAACATAAGGTGAAGAAAGAACTGTCGTATCAAAACTATCACGAAGCATTATTTCAAAACAAAAAGCATGAAATAACATATAATTTTATTCGTAGTCGCAACCATCAGTTATTCTCAAGGTCTCAAGTTAAGCAATCTCTCAGTAATTTTGAAAATAAAAGACATTACTTAGAGGCCTTTACTTCGTTGCCGTATGGACATTTCAGGATAAAATAAATTAAAGAAAAGATGATTAAAGATATTAGCAGATATGGAAAGATATAAGAACGGTAAGATTTACAAAATAGTTGATGTTGGTTATGAAAAGTGTTATGTAGGAAGCACGTGTGAGGAACTAAGCCAAAGGATGGCAAGACATAGGCAGAAATATTATTTCAATGAAAGGCACGGGCGAAACAAACATTCAAATTCTAGAGTGTTGTTTGACGAATACGGAGTTGAGAATTGTAAGATAGAACTCATTGAAAACTACCCGTGTGATAGTAAAGAGCAACTACTTAGACGAGAAGGTTATCATATCCAAAATACAGAATGTGTCAATCGTTGTGTGGCAGGTAGAACGCCACAAGAATACAAAGAAATGTATAACCCACTTAACCGAGAGAAAATAAAGAACGGAATGAAAGAATGGTATCAAAACAATAAAGAAGAACATAAACAACATAGGAAAGAGTATTACCAAATAAATAGAGAACAAATTATTGAACAAAACAAGCAGAATGTAGCATGCGAAGTGTGTGGAGCAGTAGGTCGCAAAAGTAAATTAAGCAGACATCAAAAGACTAAGACGTGTCAATCAAATAAGTCAAATCATAATGTAGAAAAATAAAATATTAATATCTAAATAGTTCTAATAATACATGCACTTATTAGAACTATTTAGTGGTACTTCTTCAGTTGGTAATGTAGCAAAGTCGCTCGGTTATAATGTTATATCATTGGATTTGAAAAATGCTGATATTAATTGTGATATACTTGAATGGGACTACAAACAGTTTGACAGAAACCATTTCAATTTTATTTGGGCATCCCCTCCATGCACTGAATACAGTAGGGATAAAACAACTGGGGTTAGAAAAATAGATTATGCTAATAGTATCGTTTTAAAACCCTGGAAATTATAGATTATTTCAATCCGACATACTGGATAATAGAAAATCCCCAAACAGGATTATTGAAGGAACAACCGTTTATGAATGGATTGAAATATTTTGATGTGGAGTCTTGTAAATATGGGTTTAATTACAGGAAACGGACTAGGCTCTGGACCAACATAACAACATGGACACCTAGACCATTATGTAAAAGGGATTGTGGGAAGGTTAGGAATGGGAAACATATTGAAACTGCTCAACGCTTACCACCAAAAACTAAGGCGGAATGGGGTGATAATCCTATCATTCATAAACAGGAAGACTTGTATAAGATACCTTCTGATTTAATTAGTGATATTTTCGGTTGTTTGCTGTCGGGGGGATGAAGCATTACAAGCAACCAGCATCACAAACAACAAGTATCATCAGAAACCAGCCATCACAAGCGACCAGCATCATCACAAACCAGCATCACCAGCAAGGGAAAGAAAACAAACAGACAAACAAACAAAGAAACAAGCCCGAACACATTGCTATTTGTGCCCCTCAGCGGGGCGCATCGTGCCCCCGTGCCCCTCGGTGGGGCGCATCGTGCCCCTGTGCCCCTCGGTGGGGCGCATTGTGCCCCTCGGTGGGGCGGTGGGGCGCATCGTGCCCCTCGGTGGGGCGCATCGTGCAGTTAAAATGTTGGTGGCTGGTTGATTGGCTCATGAGTGGCAATGAACACACCTATCTTTTTAGAAACAAAGAGTTTAAGGTAAAACAAATTCTAGAAAGATTGTTAAGTGAATACACTAAAGAATTAATCAAAGAACACAAAGAATACTATGATGAAGACGGAATGAGAGAACATATTAGCAAGAATAATAAATCTTTAGTTTTTTCATAATGTTTAATTATAATATGATTAAACATTGTTTTATAGTCTAACAAGAAGGTTAAGACATTTAAATTAAACCTGAAACCCAGACCAGCCGACCAGCAACCCCTAGCCAAAACTACTTAAAGAGAAAAAACCTTATATATTAAGAGAAAAATGAGTGGGGGTAAAATGTCAGATAATAATTTTATGGTTGAGAATTGTGATAGCTTACCTGTTGATGTATTAAAAGGTATCATTTCATATAAATTAGGGGAACCTGAGTATTTGAAAATAAAACATAATCATATTAAGACATTAAAGAGAATACAACAACAATATAAAATAAACAGAACAGAAACAAAAAGAAAGACAAAGCGTCGAACTGCTGTAGGTGGTGATGATATAAAGAGACACGTAATTGAGTATTACATTTCAAGAAATAAACCTTTAAGCATTAAAAGCATTGAAGATATAGTTTTTAATGAAAATGAAAACTTAGGTTGTTTGTTAGATAGCATTGAAACCGATAACAGTTATGGAGAAGTTATAATAGTTGAGGTAAATATGTTTGTAAGGTTTCATCATTTCAATTATTATGAAGACGACCATTTTAACACTTTTAGTTTTCATTTTCATAGTGATGATTTTGTAGATAATATAACCATAGATAATATAGCTGATGTAATGAGAGTGGCGCATCAAACAATAGACAGTCGTATGGAAGATGTAAGAAGTAGAATGAATTTTGAAGGAGTACAAAACATAAGGTTTAAACTAATGGTTGATGAACCTGTGTAATTCATAACTAAACCATAATTATAACATGTAAAATCTTATATGTTATAATTATACTGAACTTTTAACCTATAAAACATAGCTAGACAATCACATAAAAATCACATAAAAAGAAGTTGTTAAGATATATTAAGAAATGGTTGTGAAGCAAACTATAATGAATAATTATGGAATGACAGAAGAAAAAGCAACAGAAGACTATGGTGAATTCTTCAAATGTAACAGATGCCTTTATGATAAAACAATTGATGAATTTGGAAATGTAAAAAGTGGAAAAATATATAAATATTGTCAAGAGTGTAGAACGAAAATAAATAATTGTAGAGATAAACGTCAAAGAAAACAAACGACCCAGCAACACCCCAGAACTTGAGAACTACTAAAAGGGTTAACTCTTTCAAATGAAAAAAATGTCGGCCCCCAGCCCAACAATGAACAAGGGGGGCAATTACCAAAATGATTACCTTAACGAAAACGATAAATAAGCTCCCTAAAAACCCTCTTTTAAAAACGAATAAGGGGGAACACAGATTTGAGATGAACATAAAAACCAGAACAGGCAACCCTCAACAGACCACCCCCCAGGCCCCCTACTTTCTCCATTTTTTCCCCCACCCCCCCCAGCCCCCCCCCCCAAGCAAGAGCTCGCTTTTAGAGCTGGATTTGTGTGGCAGGCGAAGCACTTTGAGCGGTAGGGGCGCGGTTGAGTAACTTTCCGGGGCGCGGTTGAGTTTGCAGGACTGTTGACATGCAGGGCGCGCATGAGTTACTCATACAGGGCGCAGCTGAGTACCTGCCCCTGATGCCTCCATCGTGTTACTTTTTGACTGTCAGTTTTTGTTGCTGGCTGCTTGCCATTCAAGGTGACCATCTCGCAGGGCAACACCTATGACCCTTTGTTTCAACAAGTGGCTCAAGTGGGCACGTGCCTCATCATAGCGAACAAAAAGGCACCAGTGGCTTGCCACTCAGGTGACAACGGCACGCGAGTGTCAACGTACGCGACCACGCTGGCGACGCTGGAGCGCTTGCTCACAGCCATGCGCGGAGATGCGGCTGACGCGGAGGATGACCTCGCGCAGTGCCCCGGAAAGGAGACTGAAGCGCTTTGCTTTCAGATTCGAACTTCAGGTTGATCAAGGACCTGGAGGCCGGGGCTCTGGCATTTGTTCGTTTGTGGCCAATCCGGTTTCAGGAGGTTCCTCGAGAGAGCGCTGTCTTCAACTGGGAGTGCTGCTCCGCATGCGAGGCCGGGAGGTTGAACGATCTATGCCCGAAAGAGGGCTAGATTGCCCCGTTTTCTAAGTTTTCTAGGGTAGAAGAAGAGCGCCTGCTCGAACGCACCTGAGATTTGGGTGTCCAACTGGGCAGCGGAAGGCTCATCACTTCGGCTACGGCGGCTCTTTTGATGCCACAACTGCAGCAGCTTGGCAGACGGCCATCCCATGAGTTGCCGAGACGTGAATCAGCATCATTCAGGGGGACATTGTAGAGTAGTCTTCACATCAGCGTTGTGAGGAACGTGCCTGATAATGTAAATGTATGGATTGATGTCTGTCATTGCAGCAAGAGACAAGTTGTACACAGTTTCTTTTGTATTGGATGGACTTGTGTCCAAAACTTGGGCCGCTGCCAGAAAAACAACATTACTACTGTGGTCCCAAATGGGTCAAAGGGGATGAATAGAACCAGCATGCTCTGGGTTCTTGTTGTTGGCTTGTTGACACTCAACCAGCCCTTCGAGGGAATGATCCTGTCAAATCATGGAGGGTATTTGGCAGTCGCCAGCACATTAGTAAAGCTGAGGAACTCACGAAGCTTCTGCTGGATCGCGGGCACATGGTCATGTTCTCGGACTTCAGCCTGAAGGCCGCGCGTGTTTCGGCATAGACTCATTCGCCGCTCGGTTCCACGGTTCAGGCCTTGATCGGGCAGTGGCCGGCGACGTTGGGCCAGAACCCCTTCCGGGAGGTGGGGGCCGTCTCGGGGAGCATCATTCTGAAGTTCGACCCGGAAGTCCTCAAGGCGTGCCCCTCCTCGCAGCTAGTGAAGGCGCGGCTCAACCACTAGGCGTTTGCCTGCGTTTTTTTTTTTCTTTGCGTTAGTTTGTACACGCAAGGGAAGGCGGTAAGAAGATTCGAATCGAACTGGACAAAATCGGACACATGTTCAACAGATCTTTGCCTTCCTTTCAGGTGGGTGAGCTTTGCGAGGAGGGCCGAGCAGAGGTGACGGCCATGACCAACACCATCAAGTTTGATGTCGTGGAGGAGGCCGGCGCGAGCCTTCGCGAGCCTTGACGTAGGTGAGTTCTGGCTGATGCTTCACAGCTTGGGCGTCTCTTTGGGTAGCCCGGTTCGGACAGCCTCCGAAATACAAATTTCTCCGCCAGCTAAGGGCCTTCTGAGATCTCGCCACTCTGATTTTGGTCTTTTGACATGCTCCAAGCTTCTTCTGTGTTCGGCGTGGGCCGGGTGTTTTCCGGATTGACAAGCTGCCTTTTGGGTCGTGTTTCTTGGAGTGCGCTGACCCTGGCCAGGCGGCTCGGGGAGCGGAGGAGCGGGAGGAGTACAAGCTGCAGCGGCTCACCTGCGCGGAAGGGGTCCCGGACACGGCTGGCCATGTGCTGCTGACCTACCCCAGCGGCGGAAGGCACGCACGCGTTGCAGACATTTCAGTGAAGGTTTTTTGGTGATTGGAAATGGCGGGTTGCTGAACGTGGGCGCTGGTTGTCAAGATGGCATGCCAGGGTGCACAGCCACCTGCGTGATGAGGGCCCTTGACATCAATCTTTCAAAACTAGGGCATGATGCTGCACGCATTGTAAGTGTGGGAGGCTTCTGGCAAGTGCGGGTCACTGGTGTGAGGCGGGAGTCACGAGTCGCAATCCGATGCTGAGACGCGGGTTTGATTGGTTGTTATTCATGCCAGCTTGTCCATGCCGCGATGCGCTCAAGACAAAATTCCATAGAGCAACGCAACAACGACATGCTGAAGGATGATTGAGACATTTGCACGTGAAGGCCGGCACTTTCATAGAACCTCGCATTGACGGGTGTAAGGTTCGGTCAAGCATTTGTCGGGTCTGTCGGCACACATGAACACGATGAGGAACATGGATGATGATGATGATGAACACGATGATGATGATGATGATGATGATGATGATGATGATGATGATGATGATGATGATGATGATGATGATGATGATGATGATGATGATGATGATGATGCTGAACATGATGATGATCAAGATCATGATGATGATGATGATGATGATGATGATGATGATGATGATGCTAAACATGATGATGATGATGACGATGATGATGATGACGATGATGATGATGATGATGATGATGATGATGATGATGATGATGATGATTGATGATGAAGAGTTCCAGTGACCTGCCCAGTGGGAGCGCTCACTACGTTTCCTCGAAAAAACCAGGGGACGGACACATTTTCCCATGTCCTTCAAAGCCAACCGCAGGTGTTGACTGCTCGTGTCGGACGATGGGTTGATCAAGTGTTGTCAAAACCAGCGCCCCAATTGGGCCCAGCAGCGCCCCATGAGGCCCAATTGGGTCCCTTTTTGGGCCTTGAGGGCTGATTTCACGGGGGTGTTGACCGCTGTTAGCCGCTCCATGTTGATGCATTAATAAGATGAAAGGATGGGTCGAACACAAGAGGACAAGCGAAGACACGTAGCCACCGCACACCCTCGATGTATTATTCATACGCAGTCTCTTGGCATCAATGTTGGTTGCTTTCGGGTTTCTTCTTCAACCTTGTAACCTAGGAACTAGAAGCATTTCTCTGGCATTCAACAAACGTGACAGGAGTTTTTCCACGCGGATTTCACGCCAAAGGTGGTGAACCTCCGGGGTGTCACAGATGAAGCGCTGTTCCGAACAGCTGAGCGCCTCTTGACCGGATGGATTCCGCGCCGGGACGCCACATTTCCCATTGAAAGAGCATACCTGGGTAGTTGTGATGCAGCCTTCGTGTGTTTCACTCGTATATTCTCTTCGCAGGGCCTGTGAAGAATCTCCAATCTCGCAGTGCTGTTGAGATCCATTGCGGAGTCAAATGCAGCTAGTGACATCTAGCAGTGAGCTGGCAGCTGATTTGACCAAGGCTACTACGGGCAAGCGTACAGCGCTGGCTTGCAGCAACAGTTGAGCTCCTATGCCGACCCAGCTCAGCGAGAGGCGTTGCAGAGCTTCGGAGTGGGACCCGAGACGCGCAGGTTCGAGGTTTCAGGTTCGCTTTGTTAACTTCTGCTCGCTTATCCTGCACTCCGTTCAGGCTGTCCAGCAAAGCATCGCACAAAGCTTCGTTCTACAGAGCCCACCTGTGGCCAGCTATGTGCCGCAGCAAAATCCAACTGTTTGAAGGAGAATTCAGGGGGCAAGCCCGTCTGCCCGTGAGAGAATTGAACCTGCCGTCTGCCCGTATGATCTCTTAAAGAGAGAGGGCGTGGCTGTGCGCGTCGATTCTTCGCGCAGAGAAAAGGGGAAACCCCGGCGCACCCCTGCGCGCTTCAGATGGCGGTCTAAATTACGCCGAGAAGGAAACCACCAAGTTCCCAGGACAACCACTTTCCTGCGCGGGATTTCCCGCATGCGAAAATTGCCGGCTCTCGATATTGAAAAACCGAGGCAGTCGGCATGAACCTTGGCATCGCAGTGGCCCAGCTGAACGGAAGTTGCTGGAGATGTGGGTGTGTCATCTGTGTTCTAAGCAAAGAACTGTGATGGTTGGCCTCTCTTTAAAGGACAACCGCATGTGTCTTCACTTAGAACTCTAGGAGCTCCTGTTTCACAAGCGGCTTGCTTCTAAACAGAACTCGAGTTTGGATTTGGAGTTTGAGTTGGTGGCTTATTTCCGCTGAGATCATGCTGCTGGGCTCCGTTTCCTTCATGATGGGCACCTTCTACATGGCTGGGACCCTCAGTGCTTCGGGCGTGAGGTGCTTTCTTTCGCAGGTGAACCATTCGGACAGGGAGATGAAGATCTACACCTGGAAGGTGCAAAATCCGGTTCGCATGGGAGCTCCCTCGAATGCATTCAAGTGCCGAGCCGATCTGCAGGTCATTTGTGCCACCATCTCCATTTTTGTGGCGGTCCTCATGTACCAGGCTGCACCGAAGACTGGAGCCACAGAAGATGCTTGTATTCGGCAAGGCCTTCAATGATGCCATCAAGGCGATGTTCCTGCAGGGATCGTCCGAAACAATGGAGATGAAGGCAGGCGCTTTTGCAGAGACAGTATAGAAAGTGCAACATGGAACGTGAATCGCAAGGATGGTGTGATTTCTGAATTCTGCCTATGTGATCTTGGGTTGGGATCGCGGGTGTGGGAGTGCCCCCGATCGCAAGAAATAGCCACACTGTACTCTGCGCTTGTGCTTCTTTTGCACGGCTTGTCTAGAACCGGTCTGGTTTTTGTATGAGTGTTTCTCAACAAATCGGATCCTGCTTGCTTTGATCAGTTCTTCTTTGTTTTTTCCATTTTTTTTCATTTCTTTGTATTGGCGTTCCGCCTCTCAAATTCTTCGGTTCTTTGCCACCGATGCAAGCCGCATTGTATGTCACAATGTGTCATGTTGAATCTGCAAGCCAAACAAGTCAGTGTCACCTTTGACTGTGTTATGTCACCTCTAAAAGTCCAAAGTAAAAGCATCTTGCTTATTAAACCTTTATATCGATTTTCAATGGAAGTTTATTTGAGAACTAATTTAGAAAGAATCTCATACAATCTAAATTGACCATAGCAATAAGTCCCCATTAAATTCTGCTTGACTTATTATACAATTATGTCATATTTGGAAAATAATGCCTTTTTGACCCCTCGTTC